TTTTGCCACTAAAACTTTGCCAAAACGTCACAATTATGCTGTGACAATGTTATCGCAGACGTTTTAAAGCTTCATCATGGCTATGATTGACCTGTTTACAGCAAAATAGTTGTACAGCCAAGTGGCTACGATATCGTTTTTAAAGCCTAAAAATGTTGTCCCACTTTTGCTGTTACAACTATATCAAGACATTATAACGATGATGTGACAGTAGCTGTGATAGACAAAAATGCTGCGGTTTAAAATGCGACAACGTTGTCGCAGACGTTTTATAGCTTCATGTGCTACTTGGGAACCTAGTTGGCAAATAAAAAATGTCGGCTTATAGTTGCCATAAAGTCGACTTTAAGTCGACTGACATGGCTGACTTACAGCCGACTATAGTCGAGACATTTGTCGACTGTTAGTCGACTATAAGTTGACATTTAGTCTGACTTTGAAGTCGACTTTAGACTTCTTCTGCCGACTGACAGTCGACTAACAGTCGACTTCGTGCTGTGTGCAGGGTTATTACACTATGCTTGCTTCAATTATTTCCCGGTTTATAATATATATTTTATATCGTATAGACACGTGTTTTCGCCGGTGTCTTGTCGCACACTCGCACGCTGCTCGCGAGCTCTCGCATTTTGCTTCCCTAATTTCGTGCACACTAGCGCTTCTTATTTTGGTTGGTCGATACAATTAGAGACGGGTACTCAACAGCTAACATATTTTAAAGGTTATTATATGATTTCATGATTGCATATAAACGAATTGGATACTATCTAAGATATATGTGACTGACAATGAGTTATAGGTATAATAGGGGAATATTAGGTATTACTCTAAAATGACAAAATCCAAGAATTCAAAGGACTCGTCCTCTAATAGCAAAAAACATCTAATAGCAAAAAACAGGTTGTGCGACTCCTCTCTTGAAGGGGCTGTAAACTCATCGTTTGAAAAGAAAGTAAACGCATCTAAGAAACAGAAAACCGGTTCACAATCTACAAATCATGAAACCGCGACAATCGCTAATAACGTTACAATAATTGAGAAAAAAGATTATATATTAATGGGAAAACTGATTCCCAAATAGAAAGAATTGAATCAGGCGCGCAGTAACAACGTAGATTTAAATGATACTTTAAATACTATAATAAGATTAATGAACAATAAAAAATAATATTATCAATATTAGATCAAAAGAAATATAATATATTCTTGAAAAAAAAAACACTTTCCCATATTTGGTACTATTGAATCAACAAAATTCAATATTGGAAATTTACATCCCGTAAGTCTAGGCAAATACCTGTATAAAAAAATAGACAATATCTGCAATATTAGAAAATTTGGTAAAAATATTTTAGGAGTATTGTTTAAAACAGCGATCGATGCCAACTGCTTAATGGAATCTACAAAGATTCTATCTGCGGATTCCCTGGTAAAAAAATTTTTCTGAAATTCTCTGAAAATTTCTCTGGAAAAGTCTGAAAATTGTCCTGAAAAACTCTAGAAATTCGGACACGTTTCAGAGTTTTTCAGAGATTTTTTCAGTAAAATTTCAGAGACTATTAG